AGATGAAATGAAAACATTTATTTCAAGTGGCATATGGAAATGTTAGAAGCAAGGATGTTAAAATGACAAATGCCTCAAAATAGCTTTATTTCTTTGCCCTTTTGGAGAGGAAAAAAAATCAACTGAATAAGGAAAGTTTATGAATTTATTTCAAGTGGTTGTTCACTATACAAAGCAGTGTTCAGTTCCCCGAGTTTTTTTGTTATATACTGCTATATTGAGGCATGTGTTGTTTTAACACCCTCAGCTTAAATGTTTCAATTATTTACATATACATCATTTTACAGTTGAAATGGCTAGATGTAACTAAGTTCTATGGTAACAGCTTTTTTCACACTTTTCACTCATGGAACTCTTTTCTGGCTTCAGTCAAGTTTGCATTTAAATTTTTGAAGATCAATACCAATTGTTATCTTTTGTCCTAATTCCTGTTCTTTTATTGTTCTCATTCCTTGGTAGTGTTTTCCCTTTTCTTATATTCTTTCACACTCGGTAATGATATTCAGTCACCCTCCCAAGAGGGCGTCATGTGGCACAAGGCCTTTTTAACGTGGTAACTTCGAGCCCTTGGGCTCAGCCAAAAATATGCCCATTGAACCCGTATAAACGGGTTCTGGGTCGGTTTACCTCCCTGAAAGAGAATCTGCCCTTCAGTATAGCCTCCTTCGGGTTCCTCCCTGCCCGAAGGCAGAGAGTTCAGCATGTCACCCGACTTCAGACTGAACTCACACTCAGTAACTCCAACAGAATTGATTTAACAAAAAAAAAAAAAATCTTCTTGGAATAAATGAATGGGTTTTCATTCTTCAATTTTTTGTTTTTATCAGGGAGGTGGGGAGAAAAAAAGAACATGGCCTTTTTATAGGCGATTGCCATTCTAACAACTTAGATGTTTGATCATTTTTGGTTATTTGCAAACTTTGATTTTTAACACTTGTATCCAGAAGATCCTCTGTGGTGACAATTGACAGTAATTCTGATGTAGGTGCATTCAAATTGTATGCATGTGCACACATGCTTAAGTAAATGTCATTGATCCACTATAGAGTTATGTATAACAAAGCTCTTCAGAGTCAGAATATTTGATAAATTTTTATCCATTACTATTATTATTTATTGATCAGACCCTCTGACTCTGATGAGGAATGTCACACAAAACTGGAGTTGATCAATGAGATAAGTCTTTTGAATATTTACTAATTAATTTACAGACATTGTTACTCAAGTTATCTATTGGCCACATTTTTGACAAATTCCGCTGGATTTAAAATACATTAATTTTTTCTTATTTGTATGTATCTTGTTAAGAATCATTGAGCTATATATAAATAATATTACTGGTTACTTGTTTCCAATCACACAGTCAGTTAATCCCTGCTGCAGATAGCTACTCATGTACATTGTTTGTTCAACATGCACAGAGCTTAAATGTTGTTTATACTACAACTATACTGAGTGGGCCTTAGTTACAGTTTCTGGGAGAAAGTGCATTATCTGGTGTGATTAACAGTTTGAACAAAGCCAGTACACTCAAACCTTCAGTCACTATGACTTGTGACTTTGTTAGCAAAACCACTGATAGCCTCTGAACAATTCCATCTACCCAATTTTATTCAGAAGGTTTGGCTCAAACCATGGTTTAGTTTTTTTACTTTCCAAAGGTGTCACATATTGTGATCACCTCCCCAGGCTTATAACATCAAGAAGTCACCTCCCTGGCAAATCAACTAGAGTGGGATTCAAATCCCAGTCTCATGGTAGGAAAGTGATCCTTCTAACTACTTGGCCAAATGTTCATCTTTTTATATATATATATATATATATATATATATATATATATATATATATATATATATATATATACACACACACACACACACGGTGGAGTAATGGATATCGGCTTGATTGTGGAATCGAGAGCCGAAGTTCAAATCCAGGTTGAATCCATTATTTCACTTGTGTGCTAATACCCTTGGGAAAGGTGTGAATCCTCTTCTTCCTTCAGCTATGGGTAAAATAGCAGGACAGACTGGGTTCTATAGCCTTGGATGGCAACTGGTCTAGGAGAAAGACAACTCTGAATTCAAAACCCGGTCTCTGTATTCAAAAAGTGTGGATGGTCCTGCACGAAACCTTCACCACTATAATCGAATCTCATGTGTCAGTGTCGGGCTGTCAGTTTCCTGGAAACTGATCTGCTTGACCCTCATACGTCAAACGCGACGGGAGATTCGATTTTTTTTTTTTTTTTATACACACGCACACACACACACTGTATAGAGCCCCTCTTTTAAATTAAATGTTATGGGCAGTGGAATTATACTTCATCTGTTCTCATTTTACCTGAATATATATATATATATATATAAATAATGAAAAACAGACCACTTTAAGGTACCATTACAATAATTTATTTCACCAAAATCCTTTTTAAAGGATTCCGGATCATCAGGTAACACTTCCAACAATGAAATGAGAGGAAAAATATATATATATAGTGAATACTGATTGGCGACAGTCTGTTTCAGGACATATTTGTAGACTCAACTATTTATAGCTGCTGATTAATAGTGTATTATGCAAGATCTATTGTGTTCCCCATAATGCATCATTTACCAGCATATATAGTCAATGTAACCCACATGGCCTGAAGATTTCATTTAAGCATAAAACTGTCGCCATTTGTTGACATCAGAGTTCCCATTTATATTTGTATATGCTCTATCACTTTAACTCATAAATATAGCACACCGTAAAACTATATTTTTATCATGTATATACACACACAAGTTTCATTTAAGGCAACTGACAAGGTACTGCAGTTAAGTTGTTTTTTTTTCATTTAATTTTTCTTGTGTGCTTTAAGTATTTTCTCTTTTGTACATAAAGTGTGTAAAAATCAGTTAATAGCCGAAAACACTCAGACATACAGAACATTCATACAATTTTTACACACTTTATGTTCAGAAAAGAAAATTTATTCAAACACAAGAAAAATTAATTAAAAGTTTAACTGCAGTACATTGTTAATCATCTTTAATGAAACTTGTATAAAAGAGGGATGGCTGCCCAAATACACAATTTTACACATACACACACATACACACACATACACAAATTTCAGATTGCGTATACCTGTCAAAGGACAATATGAATAAAGACAAAAGGAAAACTTGTCTTAGCCAACATGTTTTGTCCTTTGAGAGACTATATCAAGGCAAATGTGAGGATTTTATTTTGTAAAAGTTGCTTTGTTTATTAGACATTGAATTATATCCCTTCATGTCTTCCATAATTTGCTGACTTTTCAGTTCACCTGATGAATGTTCATGAGCATTCCTAAACTTAAAACTTTTGAAAAACCAATAACATTTTTGTTCTTGTATATAAATATTTGTTACAAAATAAATTTCTTGCATCTGCCTTGATAAAGTCCCTCAGAGGATAAAACACATCAGCTAAGATAAGTTTTCCTTTTGTCTTTATTCATACATACGCAAACACATAGATATATATGCGCACGCACACACACACACACACACACACACACACACACTGGTAGAAACAATAACTTTTTCTTTTTTTTTTTTTTTTTTTTTTAATTTTAGAGTATTTATTATAAGTATAAAGAGAATTATTTTTGTTTTTGTCAACTTATGATTTAACCATGCTTGATTCCTATCAAAAACAAAGATTGTCTATAGAAATCAAAATCTTCTATTTCTAATATTCAATGCCTTGGTTGTTATAAGTTTTGGTTACTGGGACCAATATCTTCACTAGCATTGATCACTTATTGATCAGAGGTACCTCAGCAACACCAAATAGACAAATAATATTGAATCTCTTTGAAGAGAACCCAATTTTGAAGGTAAATATTTAAATATCTCTTATTATATGAGTTTGTTCCTATATTCCTTTGAGATAAAACAGCTGTAATTAAATTCTTGACTTGTCTGGACTTATAAAAATTTGGATGAACAAATCAAACATTTTTTCCCCATATCCTTCCGAACTACACTCTTAGTTGTCACTGATAGACCTGTTTTTATTTTTTTTACCTGTGTGTAATGTGGCACCAGGTGTATCTAAACAAGATAACTGATTTTCTTTGAAAAGACATTTTCTGACTAGATAGTTAAATTAGATAATACTTAATTACATTATTTACATGTGGACAATTCTCATCTTTGTTGATGATAGTTAACCATTTACTAGTAAACACACAAGCAGTGTGGATGCAGGTATTAGCACTGAATGTTAACAGTTTGTTTTATACTTGAATGCAATCTTCTGGTTATATCAGTCAGTTACATGCCATGTGTGATACACACTTAGGCAATCATATATCTTTTGATACATGACTGACAAGGCAGATTTTTTCCTCCCCCACAGTAGGTTGCCATTTCTTTCTGTGGTAGACCAGTTGCCATCCAAGGCTATAGAACCTAGAACTGTCTTTCTATTTATCCATAGCTGGTGGGAGAAGGAGGATTCATACCTTTCCCAAGGGTATTAAAACATAAGTGAATGTAATGGATTTGACTGGAATTCGAACTCAGCTCTCCGATTCCTCAATCTGAGCCACTATCCATTACTTCACTATGCCACCAGGTTATATACATTCTTTTAAATGGCCTGAAGATTGTGTACAAGTATGAAACAGACTGTCAACATTTGGTATTGGTTTGTGTTTACACTGCTTATATTTACATATGCTCTATCTCAAATGTTGAGCACTTTTACCCTGTAAATGTAGCATAACTTATATATAGATTAGAATGGATTTTTCAGGATGGTTGGTGAATATATACTGTTTAATAATTGAACAGAGTGCCTACTCAAATATAAGTATCTACAAAAAATAACATTTAAAGTGATACACACACACACACACACACACTCACATAATTATGAAATATTTGTACGTTTCTTTCCTCATGTATATGTGTGCTAGCTTTTAAATACTTTTCAAAGTGCTTTCTAATACAAATAAAAAAAATCTTTTTTTATTTAGTTACCTGTCCATGCTTAACTGTTTCATGCTTAGCAGTTTTTCAAAATGGGTATTTATTTTTGACACTCCTGTGATTTGCCATTCTTTTCACCTTTTGCAAAAGGTATGTGTCAGTTCAAAATAATTTAATTCTTTTTGTTTATTAAACTATTTATGTTCTATAATTTTCAGTTTTAAATTGGTTTAAACTGATTTCTCTTTCAAATGATATCAAATTTAGCCTTGGTAGTACTGGGTGGAATACTACAACTTTCTCAGTTATAGATTTTCAGCATCTAGTTGATCATGTGATGGGTGTTAATGGTGTATACTAAAATACAGTAAAAAAAAAAAAAAAAAATTGATCAGTGATCTACTACCAGGCTTTCTCTCTGAAGAGTAAACATTATCAAATGTGCATTTTTATAATTAGTCATTATTTCCACAAAAATAGAGTAAAATTATCAATTTTTAAAAAGTGCTGAGGGAAAAAATCAATGGACTTGCTCAGGTTTCCCTAACATTGATGATGTTGGGTACTTTTTGCCTCAAGTAATATAAAGATTCTGTTACAGAAATACTTGTTGGGTTTATGGGGAAAACATGTCTCCTGGTATTATTTTCCCATAACAATTATTGCTGACTTGAATATGAGTCCAAGTAATAAATGAGTAACACAAAACAATATAAAACAAACAACAATGCATGTATTAACAAAAGTATTACAATAACAATGAAGAAAACATTTAAAGACTAGTTTCATAAAGTGTTTAAATTAGAGAATGTCTATCTGTCTATATTTCTGAGATGAGGTATTTTGTACACTCTTTACAATATTCGGACTATTGTCCTCATCTTTGTCGACATATTTATTACAACATTTCGGCCCTTCAGGATCTGTCTACATTTCTGAGATGAGGTATTATGTACACTATTTACATTATTCGGACTATTGTCCTCATCTTTGTCGCCAACGTTCCAGCTGTTGTACGCTCCAGCCTTCTTCAGTAAGACCAAAATTGCAATATGAGCACTGGTAAAAAAAAGGTTGCTGAAGAAATTAGGTTTATAATACCCAGAAATTCATACACAGATGTCCTCAAGGACACATGTCACAATGGATAAAGGTGTTTAATTAGATCCAGTGACCACTACCAAGCTTGTGCAGTGACAGGACCCAAAGAGTGTGAGTTCAATACCTGGTTAAGGCAGTGGAGAACTTTCAGAGGGGAATTAACAGGAGATAACTGACATCCATTATACACATGGAACTAGAACAGTCTACCCCAGTGAGCAAAATAAAGGGCTCAGTTCGACATTCCAACCACCTGAAGAAGGCCGGAGCATACAACGGCCGAAACGTTGTGATAAACATGGCGACAAAGATGAGGACAATAATCTGAATAATGTCAATAGTGTAGAGAATGTGTGTTTGTGAAGTTTGTTTAGGTCTACATGATATATGTGTGTGTGTGAAAGAGTTTTAAAAAGTAACATGAGAAGAGTAAGACATTGAATATGGACATGCCCCAGTGGGACACACATTTTTTTTCCATGTGCAGCTGCATCTTAGAGCCAGAGTTGTAAAAGAGGGAAGAGAATTAGTGAGAATAAGATTTCCTGATTATAGGCTTAAGAAGCGCCCTCTAGTGACATTTCTTTTTTTTTTTTTTTTTACATATTTTATAGGAAAGTCAAGTGGGATAACCCACATGTTAAGATTTTTACGATGGGAGTCGCAGCATTTTACTGTGATCACAAATATTTCATATAAAACATAACAATTGGTTTGTAGATTCTGATGTGAAATGTTTTAAAATAACAGAAATTGAAGATATGAGATAAAAAAAAATAAAAATTCTTTCATGAATTGAAGCCTGACACCATTTTAAAATGTTTTTATTAGAAGTGAATAAAACTGATTAAACAAAAGATATGGAGCTCTATTTTTTAATCAGATGTGATTCAAACATGTGTGAAACACATGTTTGAAATTAGTGTTTGTCTGATAACCACATCTCCAGATATGTTTATCTCTAAGTATATATTTGAAAGTACTAATATTTAGATATTATCATAGCCCTTTTTATCTAGTGTTGTTCCAAAAACCCAGGTAGAACCTTGAAACCAGGGAATGCACTAAAATACCCATGGTAAATATGAATTAATTAATAATGAATAATTAAAGATTAGCTGCAATAACTAATAATAAAACAGAATAATTCTGACAACAGTTGACAATGGTTTGGATTGAAATTTTTTTTATAGCTTATCAACTTTTTGCAGGTTATTTAAAGCCAGAATATTTTTAAATTGAGAGTATTTTTTTGAGGTAATAATTTAGTATTACAAGTTCTACTAATTAATCAATGTCTGGGGTAGAAGAAGTTGATTCTTATCTTTCATGAGGGTATTTGTGTGTAGATGTATGTAATGAACCTGACTGGAATTGGAACTCAACCTATTTCCAGATCTGAGCATACTTTACATAATCTGAATATCTAAGCATACAGCGCCTGGTATTCCCAAGTGGTCACCCATTTAGATACTGACCAGGTTTGATGTTGCTTAACTTCAGTGATTGTATGAGAACCAGTATTTCAATATGATATGGCTGTAAGTTGACACTGGTTTGGAAAAATCACTAGTTAGTTTCTAAGACAAATGCTTAGGTCTGACATGTGAGTGTTTTGAAAAGTAAGTACATGTTGACAGCAGGCAATATAAGTTTTAAAGTAAAAATGTATAAGGAGAAGTGAGACTCTCAAGTTGATATCCTACAAAACACCATTACCAATGCCACAGTTCTCCTACATCATCTAGAAAATACTGCCAATGATCTTGGACTATGTCAGTGCCTCTAAAAATGAATTTATAATCTTCAACCAGTAAGGTTCAGTACAAACTTCTCAGAATCAATAAAATCTGCTGAATCTTTTAGATACCTCGGAAGCAAAATAAATTCAGCTGAAAAGGATGTGAAAATCCATATAGCTAAAGCCTGGGTCACTTTGAATAAAAATGGTTGTAATCTGGAAATCTAGTCTACCAGACAACTTCAAACAGAGATTCTTTCACACCACTGTAGAGGTGGTTTTAATGTATGATGCCACTCCTTGGATATGAACTAAAACCCTCAAGTCTAATCTTGATGGAACCTAACCTTGGATGCTGAGAGCTATACTTAACATCTAGGAGACAACATCCAGCTAAATCACAGTTCTATAGAGTCATCCCTGATATTTCTAAAATTTCACATGAATGTATAATGTGCTTTGCAGGACACTGCTGGCAAGCAAAATAAGAACTCATGAGTAATCTATTGTTCTGGATACCTAGCCATGGAGTGATATGAGTTGGTCACCCAGCAGCCACCTACATTGACCAGCTATGTTATGACACAGAATTCCACTCTAATGATCTTCTGACCTTGATGCAGGACAGTGATGATTGGTGTGATAAACTCGTGAATGTCCAAGTGAACTTGACTGAAATAAAAAAAAAAAAAATAAAAAAAATAAATGTACAGTTGTGGGCAAGGCTCCAATAGCAATTCTTATTAACAAACCCAACAAGAATTGGAACTTGCCTCTCCTATTTACAATTCTGAGCTGTTATCTATTACACCACCTGCACATTCAAAATTACAGCATCTGGAGTTCCAAAGTGGTCACCAATTTCTTTACTGACCAAGCTTGATGTTGCTTAACTTCGGTGATTGTACAAAAACCAGTGTTTCAACATATGTCTATATGCCGACACTGGTTTGGAAATAAAACTAGTTAGTTTATAAGACAAATGCTTAGGTCTGACATGTTGGTATCTTGAAAATGTAGATATATATTGACAGCAGGCAATGTTAGTTTTGTAAAGTTGTATAAGCAGAAGTACTACTAAATTTAATAAAGTGTCTCTAAAAATAGTAAATGTATGGGTATGGGCAAGACTCTAATAGCAATTTTTTTTTTTTTTTTTTTTTTTTTTTTTAAGTCTTTTTGTAGTTCAGGAGGCACAGTGGAATAATGGATGGTGGCTCGGATTGAGGAATTGTAGAGCCGAGTTCATATTCCAGTCGAATCCATTACATTCACTTACATGCTAATACCCTTGGGAAAGGTATGAATCCTCTTCTTCTCCCCCCAGCTATGGGTATATAGAAGGACGGACTGGGTTCTATAGCCATGGATGGAAACTGGTCTACTGCAGAAAGAAATGGCAACCTAGTGCAGGGAAAAAAATCGACCGGGTCAGTCATGTATCAAAAGATACATGATCACCTACATGTGTGCCCCACATGGCACATAACTGACTGACTGTAGTTCATTTCTTATCAAATATAAAGCACAATGTGACTTTATATATTTATTGGTCCTGCAGCTTGATCTCTTTTTCTTAGTAATGAGATATCCCATTGTCATAGTAACAGGAGGCATTACTCTATGCCAAAAAGCAAATGTTATAATGTAATGTCATATGTAGGAGAGATTAAACTGCTAATACATTGCATTTTATCTTTTATTAACTTTCTTTGGATATTTTTATTTTTAATGATTTAAGACTCAGAAGTCTTTGTGTGACAATAAGTTCATTGTATGGATAAAAATCCTAGATTACTCATGCAGAAAATATAATCAGGGCAGATATTTTTAGTTTTAATGATTTAAGAAGCAGAATTCTTTCCTTAAATGTTTTCTAACATGATTTTGAAGTGATTTTTTTTTTTTTTTAATCAATTCACCTCTAGCAAGGCAATAATGCTACTGTGACACAAGTCACTACTGGGAGTGAAAGAGAATTAAAACTTTAGAACAATGGTTCTCAACCTTATTTTTATTTTTTTTTTTTTACCTATAGACCATTTTTACATTTTTGGTAGACCACCATCACCATTTGATTTAAAAAAAAAAAAAAAAAGAAAAAAAAAAAAGCTTATTTTATTTTTTACTAATAGATAAATTTAGGAATTGTATTATAGAAAGAGTAAATGTATGTGCTTTATTTTAAAGTAAATCTAATTTAATGAAAATAAACTTGTATTTAACAAGTAAATTTTATGGAACATTTATGTACACGGAATATCCTTCTCAGTATTTATTCAACTTGTACAATCAAAACATCCAGTAGAGTAAAAGGGATGCTAAATTACACTGTCTGAAGTTTTCTGCAAGTTTTAGAGTTGTTTTTCTATTTTTAGTATTTTAATATGGCGTAGATTACTGTAAAAATGACAATTCTCAGTTGTAACAACCGTTCCGAAGTGAAATTGCTCTATGGACTACTAAAATGTTACTGTGGACCTCCAATTTTTTTGTGTGAACTCTTAGTAATATTACATGTACATCTAGATTCTATATGGACCCCAACTGAGAACCATTGCTTGAGAAGGAACCAGAAACACCAATCATAAATAGAAAACAAGAGATACAAAAAACAGAAACAACCTAAACATTTCAAGTTTTTTTTTTTTTTTTTTTTTTTCCAAGTCATCAGACTGAAATAAAATCTCCTTCAACACAAACCACTCTCAACACAAGCTTGCACCTACTGCATTAGTGCCAGAAGCTTCAAATTTATTTCAAAATTATTTCAGTATGCCTCTCATTGTTTATTTTTTTTATTTTTTATTTTTTTTGCAGCAGTGCTTTTAATGATTGAAGAATTCTTTCTGTTATAGTGGAACACACCTATTCTATAGTTAATAGACTCTCTCACCTATAATAAGTAGGAGTAGTAAGAGTAACAAGTCAGTCGCTCAGTGGTTCGGTCAGTCAATCGATGCCGGACGACCATTAGTCGGATACTAAAGTATCAGTGACCACAACTAGATTTTCTTTGCGTCATACCTATTATATGAAGTTCCTAACGTTTTGTACGTCGAACCTATTTTAGGACCGACAGTACAAATACAAGCCTCCACTGTGAAACCACTCCATAACACTTTCTTAGATTTGACTACAGTTAAATGTACAGATAAATCTTATCCTAGATCCCTTCTGTATAAAATATGATTAAGGTGATTAAAAAACTACTTAAATATTGGTCTCATTCCTTTGATGGTACAGGTCTTATTTACTTTATTTGCCTATTTTTACTTTTAATCATTTAAAAAGTACATTATTTTTGTGGTACTTAGAAATTAGCTTACAAATGCATTCTGAAAAGTTCTTAGCCTGACCAACGAGAGTTTTTAAAAAAAAAAAAAAAAAAATATCTGATGTGTGGTTATTTTGTCACATGTTGGGCTGATAATATCAAGTAAAAATGGCAGTTTATTTTTATTTTTTTTTTTTGTTTTAACACATGTTAATTTTATGCACCTTGTGTCAGATTTGGTATTGATGGTAGGTCACTTGGTTTGCATTTGCAGAAAAAGTGGACAAGTAAATGTATTATATGTGGATCACCTCAGTGTCACATCCTTCATATGATAATAAATTACATCTGGTAGCAAGGCCTCTGATTGGGAGGTTTTGAGGAGTGTAGAACCACCTCTTAATTGCTGTACCCAGGTCCACTCTGACCAGGGGTGGTAGCACTTGTTAGAGTCCTAAATGGGCAAATTCAAACTGGGGTCAAAAAACTATGACAGTATAAAAGTACATTTTTATAGTAAAAAAATACCAACCATACATTTTTGTCCTACAATTTCTTAAAGATTAAAATGTATTCTAAATTATTGCTTCAACAAAACTACATCTAGTAATTTTGTCCACACACATATATATGTGCAAAATCTGAGTATCATCTACCATGTATTCAACTGTGAAAGCAGAATAACATATTTTTTATTACTTTAAAGCTCCCAAGAAAATTAAATTTTGGAATTAAATGACTCATCAGGAGTTGATATGCTGTTAAACAACCAAAAAAATTAAAAAAAAAACTTAGTGTCTGGCAGAGAACCTAGGTGCATCAATGGGTTGACATGAGAGATGACCTCTTGGCCACCTGATGCAAATCCATATCTCATAAGGTGTCGGTGGTTGACTCTAACATGTAATTATGTAGTTGGCCCAGATGTGCCAAGTATATGCTTGTGTGGGAAAAACTACATATGTAAACATCCACTTGCAAAATGAAAGAGGACACACTCTTAGATTGATATGACAATATAGAATCCAGGCCCACAGAGAGCCCCAAGAGCCACACACCACAAAGTCTGGAGTAGAATAAAATGTAATGTTAGGCATGAGAAATTAAGCCTTGTCTTTTTTTCCCCTTAAAATGGTAAGAAAAACATTGCAAATGGTCCATGTTTCTTGTATATATTGGTTCAAATATATTTGTATATATTTGCATGTCATAATTTAATATTTAATTTCTATTTCTTTGTTAACAGTTGCAAAGCTTGAAGGATGAGTACGAAGCTCAGATGGAGGAACTGAAGCAGGAACTGCACAAAGAACGGTTCAAACATGTTGACAGTAGTGCCAGCAACAGTAGCGGTACTGAACTCAATGGCCTCTTACAAGCCGAACAACAGAAACAAGAGGCACATACTTTGGTAAGTGGTTTTAAGAATTCTTCATGTCTTTATATAATTAACTTTCTGAAATATGCCCCTTGTGGTGAAAAACAGACAAAGGTTTAAGCATATAGTGAAGCTTTATTCACTGCAAATTGTGGCTACAGTTTTGATTTTTATAAAGCTTTCTGTGTATTTTTAAATTCTCTGCAAAGGCAATAGTATTGAGACTACCAGATGAGGTCACCAAAATTTTTTTCCTGTCTTTTGAAGTATGAGGTAATTGTAAAAAAAACAAAACAAAAAAAAAACAAAAAAAAACGGAAGGTTTAAACTTGTAGTGAAGTTTTATTCAATGCTATTTGACTACACCTCAGAAGTAAGGCTTGACCATTTCTTTTATAGTCAAGTTGGAGACAACTATGGCTGCCTTCACCACACCTCTTTTACTGAAGGCCGTTTATGTTCTGGTAGGATTGAAGGCCACTGTGAAAGTAGGGTGTTTTGATCGGGGAAAACAACTCCAAAACAGTCCGATTGATTTCTATTAGATATCTTGGTAACAGTTTGATAGATTTTTAAATATTTTTTTAATCTGGTCATAGCAAGTGGGTCTCCATTGTATGGGTGTGTATTTTAAAATTAGGCCAAGTATATTTTATTAAATGTAGCTTAAAACTTTTTTTTTCTTTTTTTTACAATGATCTTGCCGAGGGGGACTAAATTTCTGCTAATCACAAATATAAATGAAATCTGGTTTTTCATGTAATATTCAAAAATATTTAACTAATTAATAATCTTTGAAAATATTTTTTACTAGAAGTGCCCCTGAAAATTTCATGCTTTTCCTGTTGGAATTTGCTGATGGATCTTAATTTTCATATATACTCATGTAACACACGATTTTTCTATATCGTGCCAACTCCAAATTCTCGCTTATAAAAATGATTTTATCTTGTGTATCAGGTTTCTTTTCTTTCTTTTTTTTTTTTTTTTTTTTTTGCGGGAGACCAAGTTGCAATAGACTAACCTATTTTCCTCTATCTCTTTATCCAATCTTCTAGTTAAATAAGCTAAGAGAGATTGGTAAAAAATATTGTTAGTAATGCTATACTCATTGCATGAACATGTACAGCCATAAACAACCAAATGAGAAACAGCTAAACATTTTATAAACATAAACAATGGAAAAGATGCATATTTGCTATATTTCATGTTTTATAATATGGTACTAATATGTGAATATTACATGAATTATTATTGGATACAGATAAATAAAACCTCAGTTTTATCAAAATCATGTTTATTTTAAATGCAGCTGTACATTTGGACTTTAGTAAATGCATATAGTTTGGTCAGCAGTCGAGCCAGGGTCAGCAGTGCATACACTAATTTTGTTTATTGTGTATGATGTGACCCCCCCCACCTTTAAAATTAGATTCATAATTAGGTCTTTAAAAGTCACATATGTAAGTATATACAATAAGTTAATGATTGAATAAGCTCATGGTGAGTTCTACAACATATCCATAGAAATTCCCCTATTGCATCTCTATCTATAAAAGGCAGGATGTGTGTGTGTGTAATGAATGCACAGCCGCAATTTTTGACGGATTTGCACCAAAATTTACATGCACATGCTCCAAGTTAGCGGGAAGGCCAAGACCAACTTTGCATTTCCCAACTCCTATTGATAGTGGAAATAATTGATTTTTTTTTCATTCTTTTTACGGCAGTTTTCATGTAGTTTTGCGGCCATTTTCTACTGGCCAGAGTGAGAGCCTATAACTGGCTGTCACGAATAGGTAGGAACATTCTATTGGTTAGCGTGACAGCCAACAGCTGACTGACACAAATGTTAACTCGCATGCAAAAAAAATTGATAGCTGCATTAAATCACAAGTGGGAAAAATTTAAATCTGCATGGCACTTTACTCCAATTGGCTCATTCGCTTGCTTAAACTCAATGTTGATTCTGATTCTGCAGAACTGGTTTTGGTGTGAAAAAGTATTTGTTGTTAACATTCTTTTTTATTCAGTTTTTCCAGTTACGAGTCCTTTTTTAAAGCTGATCGTTTTGTGTTAATTTTGTTTAGTTCTTTTTTCATAACAGATTTAATGTTTAGTATAGAGCTTAGAAAAAATTCGCAGTGTGAGATAGGCAAGAAGTAAGGCATGTAGCAACATCAGCACAGCAAAGGGCACTCCTTTAAAGACAAGGAAGGGTAAAAATATTTTAAGTCAAGTGATAGCCATTGTTGTACGAGTCGTATGATTTTTGAATCAAGCACGGGGAACGCTGTGCCATGCTGCTAGTCATTAAATAAAGAGTGCTTTAGAATTAATCTCCCACATAAGACATTAGTAGCAGTGGTGTTTTTACCTACCTAATGTCTTACCACTATGGGGGAGGTATTTCTATATTTGAACTTATCAACTTTAACAAAATATTGCTGGTTGTTATTTTAAGAAGTGGGTACAAATGAAAAGATTTGAAATTGACATTTTTTTCCCACTCCACTGAAAGACAAACTCTTTTATCTTTTCTTCTTTCTTTCATTTTCTTACTGAAACCAAGTAGTGTCTCTAATATGTCTTTTCCATCTTTCCAAGTGATGAAAACAAAATAGTCCATTATCTATCAGGTATTGACAGGGCATAACAGTTATGTTAACTAACAGAGGAACTAGTTGAATTGTTTGTTCTTTCAAAATTTAACAACACCCTGTGATTTTGTTATTAAATATTATTACACTTACAATCATGTTCTCCCTATACAAGGTCCAAGAGCCACTCTAGGTAGAGGGTTACAGAGTAAGGGGCACCATTACAAGTTAGGTGATAATGCCATCAACATGCAAGCAAGGGGCCACCAGAGGTGAAACAGAAGGAAAAGACTTCAGAGTGAACCAGAAACTGAATCCTAAACCTTTACTCCTGTTCAAAAGACCGGGGTTAACATGCATAGTAACATATTCTTTTAAAAAAACTGACCCCCACTTTTTTTGTTTTTTCCTAAAGATAAATATTTAGATATTCAGAAGGAAAGTTTTATATTAAACTTTTTAAATTAATGTGGTCATAGATTTTCTTAGAAAAATTTTGATTACCTATGTGCAAATCTATTTTTAAATATTTTATAAATGTCAAAGACATTGGGTAACTTTAAAGTCAGTTAACTAACACTGATGGTGTAATATCCACTTCTGTAATACGTTGTAACAGACACTGAAGGATACACAAATCTGATAATGTGTGTTCTAAAAAAATTAGAACTGAGAATGGGAGAAGAGAAAATTTAATTTACCAAAAATGAAAATGGAATTTAGGAAAAGTTGAAATGGAAAATTAGTATCTCTATTTATTAGATTTTCAGATGAATTCTAAAATGCTACAATTTTGTTAGTACAATAATTTCTTCAAACATTATTGTTTTTTTTTTATTGTTTATATAAGAATCTTTGGTATCACTTTAGAATGTATCCTACCGATCAGTGTATTTTACATTATCTAACATAAAGGGAAAAGGAAAAACAAAAGGAGGGATACCACTTATTGTTGTATTATAAAATTAAAAAAAACAAAACAAAATGATAAAATAAGAAATTTGACTAAAAAATCATAAAATATTTGAATCCTTTAAATAAAAACATTCTGAATATCTTTTAACATATCGAAAAAAAATCGGTACAATGACTTAGGATACAAATGTGGTGGTAGGATACACGCTAAAGCAGAAACTGATTAGTAGGATACATGCTAAAGTAGCACCGATTTCCTCCCGCCACTTTTTATTTTTTTTATCACTGTTGGAGATTTATGCTCAGACTATAAAAAGGGCAATAACTCTTCTAAATACTACTTTGAATAGCTTAGGGAAACTTTCAGTTTTTTTTTGTTTTTTTTTTTAAATGATTCATTATCGCTATTGTTAAGAGTTGTTTGAAGCGACATTCTTATTATTATTATTATTATTAGCTTTATCACTTCAGCAGATACATCCTTTGGCTTTCATCATTGATTAAATTCATTTCTCTGTGTGACTTGGACTAATATCCTCATCATTGTTGGTTATATTAAACCATGTTTTTGGTTGATATAATCTTTGTCCCCACTTTTAGGCTTATGACCACATTATGTTGAAACAATGTTTCCTGTACAATCTCTGAAGTTAAACAACCCCGAGCTTTGTAAGCTTGGATGTGCAGGTGGTGTAATGGATTATTATTTGGAGAGCCAGGTTCTAATCTCTGTTGGGTTTATTATATTCATTTGCCAACCATTGGTTACAACATTGGCATTTTGACCATGAGACCTGGGTTCAAATCTCACCATGGTTGATTTGTCAAGAAGGAAACTTGTTGATGTTATCAGACTGGAGGGGTTGATCCCAGCATGCGTCACATTTGGAAATTGTCTGAAAACCATACCACGGGTTGACCCAAGCCTTGTGAGTGAAATTGGGTAAACTGAACCCTTGGGGGCCATCGATAGCTGTGCTCGGACGAGTCATCATGGCCAAGGGATTGAGTGTGCTGGCCTTGTTCAAATTGTTGATCATGCAAGATAACACTCTCTTTTCTAGAAACTGTAACTAAGGTCTGCTCAGCATAGTTGCAGTATAAACCACAGGTGGTCGCTGTGGGTGTTTGAATAAACACAAATGCACCTGACTAAGCGTCTGCAATAGGGATTGGCTAGCTGCCCTACTAGATGGGTATCCTCAAATACGAGTGACCAGCTATATATATATATATATATATATATATATATATATATATATTTACTCACACATGCATACCGTTAGGAAAGGTATGTATTCACTTTTTCTTTCTAGCTATGGGTTAATTAGTAAAACTTGTATCACTAAGCCATTATCTTCTAAAAAAAAAAAAAAAAAAATAGATAAATAAAATTTATCTCAATCTAAAAATATTTTCTGGCTTTAAATAACCTGCAAAAGATTGATAATCAGTCACATTGTCTCTACCTTTAGATATATATATATATATATATATATATATATAACCGTATTGAAA